AAAGAGGTAGCAGTTTTAGTCTGGATCTGTAAAAGCAGCAAAGAGACCTGTGGCACTTTATCGACTAACAGACGAATAGGAGCATGAGCTTTCGTGGGTGAATACCCACTTCTTCGGTTCACCCAGAGCTCATGCTCCTATTCGTCTGTTAGTCTATAAAGTGCCACAGGACTCTTTGCTGCTTTTACAGATCCAGACTAACACGGCTACCTCTTTGATCCTATAGGTTCTAATTTTTTAAAATCTACCATTCTATCACCAAGAAATTAAAAATAAAAATAAGCAAAACATTAGCCACTAATTTTTGGCAGGCCCACAAAAAGGTCTCTGTTCCCTGCTTTGGCTCTAGAGTGGTAGTTAATTACCAAACACTTTCCTCAGAGCTGATCTAAAAATCAGTCAAATGGTATGGGTACACAAACAAAGTTCTTTTGTAATGAGAAAGTACTTCATGAGTTGAACACAGCCAGATCAGTTTCATCTTCATTCAGTAAAGGGTGTGTAGGGGTTGGGGAGGGGGAGGATATCAATGTTTGCCAAATAGAAAAGGTCAAATCTGGAAGGAATTTTTTTTCTAGGTAAGTAATACACAGAAGGGAGAGTAAAATAACTGACACAGCTGGAAGGGGGAACCACCTTTCACACACCGATTCTGGAGGTACCTGGTGTTTGGTTTCCAGGGTAGTTTATTGTAGGCAGAGAACTGCATTTATGCTCAGCTAAAACAGTTCCTAAGAGCCATTTTTACAGACAAAAACAGCCAGATGCTTTGGTGCTCTGACCATGTCCCCTCTTCCCTGGAACGCTCCCAGAACAACTTACAGCAGTGTCTGTGAGGGAAGTGCAGCAGCGCTATGCCACTCAAGGAATGCCCTTAACTGAGGCTATTACCCAGGAACCAATTCCAACCGGCTCTGCAGCCACCCTTTTATGTCACAAGAACTAGCAAAAAGGGATTGAGATTATTTGACTTCTACAAACTGGAGTTGGGTTGTCCAGGCTATGCAGGTGAGTCTCTGTTTAACTGTTTATAGTATGTTTTTTTTAATTGGTTTCTCAAAATATAAAGAAACAGACTTGAACATTTTATAATTTCTTCCTGTAAATTATTATCCCCTACTATGGGGTTTTAAAGATTACTTAGCACCAATTAACTTGGAAATTTGCATGCTGCTGGGCAAGTGTTCTTAGAAAGAAAAAAAAAAGGGAAGCAGCAGCAGCAAATTTTCTTTTTTACGTCAATAGACTAACATAAACCGTTCCCATCACCCCCTCCTTCTAACTTCCAACTACATGTGTAGAGGAAACAAACCAAATGCTTACAAAAAGAACAAAGATTAGCCATAATCATTTGGCATTGCACAGCCATGTTTTTAAAAAGGATGTCTTAGATATTCGTGTTTACAAAAGAATTAACTGTGAGAAAGCTCCTAATACAACTCCAGAGATAGCTATGTCCTCATTTACTCTTGTTTCATTCAGAAGCTTGCTGTTTAAAAGTTTAAATGGGAAAATTTATTGTACAATAATAATTTTGTCAACAGAGATAATGCCTAATTTGTTTAAGGGATGGTTGTGCTTTTTATATATGTGGTCACTTTATCTCATTTCTAGATCATGAAAAACAATACAAGATTTTTCTTCTATGGCTCAAGTCTTTATTACATTAATCTTTTCAGTTTTCTCTTTTAGACAATTTTGACAAACACAGCTGAAGCCAAAGATAAGGGCCAGATTCTTGGTTACATTCTAGCTACTTTGTACCATCTGAGCAGTGCAAAGGGGCTAGAAAGCAGTTGGATCTGGCCAGCAAAGAATTCCATTCAGTATGAAGGAGCTCTCACCTGGCACAGAACCAATGTAATTAGCCACTGCAATGTAGGAGTGTGTTTTGGATGTGCCACAACAGGAAAGGGCATGGCTGGAGGGTAATGCCCTCCAGTTATGCTCAGTGGGTGTACAGTCCCTTAGCCAGCTGGGATTAGCAAGAGAGGTACCCAGGCTGCTCTGAGCTATGCTGAGGCCAGGGCCAGGTGAGATCCACTCAGAGAATCAGGGAGCCCTAACGCACTCCTTGAAAATCACCTTTGCTGTATCACAAATACACAGTAGAACTTCAGAGTTATGAACACCAGAGTTATGAACTGATCAGTCAAACACACAACTCATTTGGAACTGGAAGTACGCAATCCGGCAGCAGCAGAGACCAAAAAAAAGGGCAAAATACAGTACAGTACTGTGATAAATATAAACTACTAAGAAAATAAAGGGAAAGCAATGTTTTCTTCTTCTGTATAGTAAAGTTTCAAGGCTGTATTAAGTCAATGTTCAGTTGTAAACTTTTGAAAGACCCACCATAGCGTTTTGTTCAGAGTTACGAACAAACACCATTCCCGAGGTGTTCGTAACTCTGAGGTTCTATTGCAGTTGGTGCAGCAGAGTATCTAGGCCAAGATTTTCAGTTTCTGTAGTTGGCATTATGAACTAATCATCTTAGCTTCAAGTTACAGATTTCTTTCCTTAGATTAAAATGTAAGTACTTATAACTTTTAACCAAAATGCTCCAAGATATCAAATGACTTTGAACTTTTACTCAACACCATCATCTACTGTAAACGATATTAAAACTGATTCAATGTTGGGGAAAAACAACCCTGTCTTCTTAGTCATCCTTCTCACAGCTGAAACAAATATAATCATGAATTTAATATTTATTTTGTCATGAGAACACTTAACTACAGCCATTCATTAAAGTTGTGAAGCTGAAGATTCTCTCTAAGGTATGTTCACAGGTCATATTGTTGTCAAATTTAGAGATATAGGCCACTTTGGAAGCTGCTGAGAAAATCCCCTTGATCTTGAGCAACACAAAAGGCTGGTGGTTAGATTTGGAACATGCATCTGTGAAGAGGAGCACAGCTGCAGCAAATTTCTGACAAACCCTGTGATGGTTCCACTTTGAACTCTCCTTTTCTCCATTCCAGGATTTTCTCCAACATTCCAATCTAATAAAGAACAAATGATGGTGCTGTTTAGTGACCTTATGCAGCCATAGATCTATATCTTAAGGACCAGGACTAGATTTCTGTCAGTGTGTGATGATCATAAGGATTCCCCCAACACATTACATTAAATTGTACCAGAGGCACCAGCTGAAGATGTTAAAACATCCCCATCTCTTTGAGAAGAAATTGTACTAGTTTCAAGGATAACAGCAGGAGCAGAACATTGAAACAATTCCCATGTGCAGTGCTTGCGGAACTGCTCTGGCAATTGTATTACAGATAAAGGCCATAATTACACAGATGAACATGGAGCAAAGCATGTATTAAATGAGGACCTACTTGAACTGCACTATTAGCTTAATTGAAAAAAGGCATTTCTCTACCAACATTTCATATCTGCACTTTGGTGGTGCAAAGCAACTCTAAAAGTCAGCAGATCCAGCCCTCTGAGGACTCCTCTTCAATTAATTCTAGTAAACATAAGTCTATAGCTTCAGGATTACAACACTGAGAAATAGGTCTCTTTGCAATTATTGCCTGGAGAAAATAGTCATAAGACATTTGTTACATATACATCTCTGTGCTTCCTTGGGGCAGCTTTACAATTTGACCTCAATAAGCCCTCTGTTTCTTTGTTTATTATGGGGCAAATTCTGCCCCCACTCCTCAGCTGCACAGAGCCGTTCTGCTGCATGGAAGCGGGCGCATTATTTGTGGAGTCTGCGCAGGGGGTACACATCTCTTGTGTGCAGTCCAGATCTATGGTGGCTTCCTGTGTGCCAAACAGTGTGGGCTATAACCTGGGGTCAGGATTTGGAGGTAAGTCACTATGACTGGTAGGATGTATTCTATCACCTGTTATGAAAGTCCTTTTGTGATATAAAATATTTATCAGTTCACCAAAAATCAGAGTTATGCAAATACCCATATTAATAAAGTAGACTATTGGGAAAGCCATACTTCACTGTAGCCAAAAACATCTGGAAAAGCACCCAGTAGAGCATCCACAACATATCCAAATGATCTATTAATCTAGTGAAGGGGTACCTCAGAATTTCAGAGCAGGGATGCTAATAGGGTTGCTGCCACCTTTCTAATTGCTGGTAACCAGACCCTGAGGCCCCTCCCTCTGCTCTGCCTCTTCCCCCCCCAAGGCCCCGCCCTTGCTCCACCTCTTCCCCCAAGGCCCTACCACTGCTCCACCTGTCCCCATGAGGCCCCGCCCCCTTCGCTGCCTCTTCCACCAAGCCTTGCCCCTTCTCTGCCTCTTCCCCTAAGGCCCTGCCCCTGCTCCTCCTCTTTCCCCCAAGGGCCTGCCCCTGTCGCCTGCTCCTCTCTCCTCCTCCCCCTGTTGCTCACTGGATCATCTTCACCTCCCGGTAACTGGGCTTTTGGTGTCTAGTCAGTACAGCTGACCGGACACTGCAAGGTCCCCTTTTCAACTGGATTTTCTGGTTGAAAAGTGGGCACTTAGCAACCCTAAATGTCAGCTGGACACAGAAGCCCAAAACCGGACTGTCCAGGTAAAACCAGGATAGGAGGCAACCCCAGATGCTCATATCAACTATTTGAAATTACCAAGGAACTCACAAGGCCAAATGGTCCTCTGTCTCCATACAGTTTCTCTTCATATCTACTTAGTGCTGCCTTCTCTTCTGACTTTTTACAGGAAGCAACTTGTACATCCACTGGCATCTTCGGTGGAGCACGCTCTTATGCAGTATGGGGACTGTCAGTGGGATCACTGGCCTCTTAAAATTGTCTATGGAAAATTAGGCAATTCTTCATCACATACTGAGGCACATACTGCTACCACCAGTGCCAATCCCTCTGCAAAAGAGTCAAAATGGCTTCTGCTAACTCTCTTGATTGCATGGAGCAGATACATACAGGAAAGAAAACCAATATTATTTGACTTGTGACCAATCTCAACCAACCAATCCTGCTCAAAATGTAAAATTATATCAGGAAAATTGTATGAAGTGTTTTTGAAGTTCTAACAACAAAATGTTTAACATGTGGATTTTAAAAAATTTGCTTCCATCTCACTAAAGTTTTGAACTTTGAAAAAGAGCATTGTTATTTAAAACATACCCCCTACACCCCATCAATCAATAATCTTTCCAGCTCTCGTTGAGACAATTCTGAGCTGAAAAGACCTTGGGTAAGGCGTCTCAGAGTGGATCCCATCCTTCAACCCAATAGCTCTGGTGTTACTAAGATCTTTGTTTCTTGCAGCATACAGAAAACAACTTTTTCAGATTCTAGGATGTATCTTAGAGCTCAGTCCCCTCCCAAGTTGTAACATAGCTTTAAACTCATGATTCTGAGAAGAATGCTTCTGTGGCTGATTCGGTGTAATTTGTGTAGTGACAGATTTTCAAAGTGGAAAAAATTAATTTAGCAGTCTGGAAAACAAGGCCCTCTTGGGCAAAAAGAGGATGGTTGGAACAGTCACACACTCCTGTTTACTGTCTAAAACATTGTGTAGTACAAATAGGGGGATCAAGGGAAATTAAAGTTGCCACCCATCAGGATTTCCCCTGAAGAGACCAACTGTTAAATATTATTAGGAAAACAACATTAAATATATCCCTATAAAATGTGTAGCTCTAATTTTTAGATTTTTAATTGTTAGTGAGTACTATTCAGTTTTGGCTTCTTGTTTTCCTAAGAGTTAAAACCTCCACATGAATGTATAGCTTAGCCACTTGCCAAATTCCAGTACAAACTTACTGGAAATTCCAGTAAACTCCATTAGAATCCTTCAAACTGATTCCTGATGGTTTCTACAGGGGACCAGTAGCTCTAAGAACCAAAAGATCTGTTGTTCTTTTTCAAAATCTTGTTACCAGCTGGAACTATAATGACCTAATTGAAAAATTCTAACTGGGAGGTCCACCACAGGAAGATTTTCAGGAAATATATTTGTTTTAATAAAATTGTTTTGAAACAATAGTGTTTGAGTATCCTTGGAAGACAACGACAGGATAAAAAGGTATCTGTGTATTCCTGGTGGCAATTCCAGTTGGAAACAGAAAAACAGCTATATTAGTCTACTGCAGTGGTTCTCAACCTATTCACCATTGTGGGTCGCATATGCAGCTCTCTATTAGTTATGTGGACTGCATCCACATAATATATATAGTACCTGTATGGCCCTGAGGATGTCACATGGGCTGCAGCTGTATGCTGATTGGGCCACAAGTGGCCCGTGGGTTGAGAACCACTGGTCTACTCGTTCCTGGGATATTATACTCTAAATGAAACCAAGTGATGCCAGCAGAGACCATTTGAAGGTAGAGCAGGATTAAGGCAATCTGGGCCATAGACATTCCAGGACATAGGGCCTCACCTGAGTCTTGTCCCCAGCTGGAGTACAAGGGCCCCATTTTCCTCCCAGAGGGGCTATGGGGCTTCCTTATCCCACAGGAGCAGCAGCAGGGGTAGCAGCAGCCTCCCAATACTTGTTCTTGACACTGGAATGTATTTGCATTAATGGATGAGCTAGAGCTAGATAACCTGTGCACTTCTGCAGAATTCACTGAAGGCTCAGAACTCGGACATTTGCATAGCCTGTCAACCTGGGAATTGTATCAAGCTTGGATTCTTACTCTTCTGTCACACCAAAAAGAAGAGTTTTCTGACCTAGAAAGGATAAAGGGAATCCTGTGACTTCTGGTCTGAACTTTTAGTGCTTACTATCTTCCTCCATTTAACCAGGGAAGGAGTTAAAAATAAAAGGCTTGGTCAGCAAGCCTGGATTACAGATTGAGAGGGTCAAATAGTAGGTGGTGGTCTGGTGAATTGCTCCTCAGAAAACGTGAAGTCTCGTCAGTCAAAATGAAGCAAGACAAGCATGGGGAGGAACAGACTCGGGGAGGAGGTAAGGGCTGAGATTCATCAGCCAGAAGACAGACTGACCTGTAATGGTGAGAAACTGCAACTGTGAAGTGGCATGTAAAGACAGAGATTTAGTGGCAGGGCAATTTCATAAGTGCAGGAGCTCCGTACCAACCTATTAAAATATATTGGAACCAACAGCTGACCTTTAGTACCTGTCTTTTAGTTAAAACATTTATTTAGCTTTTAAAAATTCCCTGCTTTAGGTCAAGTGATGTCTATCAGCTCTCCTGAGACCCTGATCCTGCAATTTGTTCCACGTGGTGGACTCGTGTGCCAAACCTGAGCTCCGCTGAAGTGAACAGAGTCAGGAGGGGGCTCTGGTTTGGGGGAGGGGTCAGGGCTGGGGCACAGGGGCGAGGGCTCCAGCTGGGGATGCACCACATTGAAAAAGTTGCAGGATCAGGGCTAAGGCAGTGCTTCCTGTCTGACTGAATTTTTTTCCCCCATCTCCCTTTCTTCTTTTCTCTCCTGTGTTGTATTTCTTCCTCTGCTTTTCTCCCATGTCATTCTTTTCCACATTGTCTATTTGACCTTTCAACCCTCTTAGATTTTGTGGAGAATGGCCATTCCACACACACTCTGTCCCATAAACCCTTTCCTCCTCCCCGCCCTGCCGCCTTTCCCCTCAGACTATCCCAGATAGAACATTCATATGAGCAATGGTTAGCCAGATCAGGCCCATAGACTCTGATCTTCAGGGCAGGTACTGCACCTTCCTATATGCTCTGTAAAGTTCCATGCACACCTCTGATACTAGTGAAATAAAAAATAATAATTGGTCTGGGGACTGTAAAATTGCAGAAGTGCATGGCTACAGTTTATTTTGAGCAAAATAACTCCAACAGATCCTTAACTTCGAGTAAGTTGTGTGTTATTTACGGTTATCATAAAAGTTTCTATGTTCTATGTTGCCTTTAGCATTCTTGATTTTTATTTTTACACCTCTACCTCGATATAACGCGACCCGATAAAACATGAATTCGGATATAACGCAGTAAAGCAGCGCTCCGGGGGGGTGGGGCTGCGCACTCCAGTGGATCAAAGCAAGTTCAATATAACGCGGTTTCACCTATAATGCGGTAAAAATTTTTGGCTCCTGAGGAGAGCGTTATATCAAGGTAGAGGTGTATTTAAAAATATTTATATTATGGTATCCCAAAGACCCTAATTGGGATTAGGACCCCTTTCTGTGCAAACATGAAAAGCTTGTACTTTTTTTTAACCTAAAAAAAGGCAGCACACCTCACCTCACCCTTACTTTCTTTTTATGTTTATTTTTGAAAGAATGGTAATTATTATGTTTTTATTAATTGTTTTTGTCTGGAAACATGGACACTTACCGTGGTAGGAGCTAAATACATAGAATTATTATTAATTATTATTATTATTAAATGTGATAGGTAAGAAATCTACACTTTAAAGCTGAATAAATTGTATTAGTCACACGGTTCATGTAAGCTGGACAATGAGTCAACCACTACTTTTGTTACATTTCCTTGTTATATTGCCTCAGGAAGTTATCCTTGAGACTATTAAAGCTTGAGATGACACTCTAAATATCAATTAGTAATCATCCTTTTAGCAGTTGTGAAAGGGCCAGACTAGGGAGTGGTTTGTTTTGGATGACAGGTATGCAACTGACAAACGTCATAAAACAAAACCACAAAACAGCTCAACCTGCTCCTCCATGCGTCAAGTTTAAATCTTGACAAATACTGTCTCAGTCTGTCTTAAAGCAAATTTCAGTTCTTTCACAATATTCTAACAGGCCTGATCTCTTCCCTGAAGAAGCATACAGAAAGATTTTCATGCAGTTTCTAAGAAAAATCCTACAGGCAGATCCTCAACATTGATTTCAGTGGAGTTACACTGATTTACACCAACTGATGATCTTTCCCCCATCCCCCCAGTTTTTAGATAGGTGAGGTGAAATCATCCAGATATATCAAATGTAACAGTAAGAAAAAATGCATGAAATATACAAATATATTTCAGTAATTTTCAATTTTTTCATTCTATAGACTATTGCCAAAGACAAGAGTCTCTCATAGACCCACCGACCCTCCCAACTACCTAGGTCCAGATAACATTTGTGTTCACAGCAGCGTAAGGGGATACTGTGCTACAGCTATCCTCAGCTTATATAAGTTACTACTAGCTGGAGCTGGCTGAAATGTGGGATTTCCAGTTTGTGAGAAATCTTGATATTTTGAAATTTCCTGCAAACTAGAAATCCAAAATAATAAAAAAATTGTTTCGGAAACACAGACACATGGTGTTTCTGTATAGACATTTCCTCCCACAGACCCACCAGCTGGTGAGTGAAACTGACATACTTGTCAGTTAAACTGGCAAGAATGCCGATTTCACTCAGCAGCTGCCAGGGTCTGTGGCTCTGGGGCAGCCCTGTCATGAGGCCTGCCCAGGAGCCAGCTGGGAGCCTGAATAGCCAGCTGGACCAAGAGTCTAGAAGTCCTGAGATCCCCAGTCCAGGGCAGTATTCATGGCAGGACTGCCCCAGACTCACACACCCTGGGATTTGGGAGCCCATCCCAGGATTTTCAGGCTCCCAGGTCCATGGCCGTGAGCTTGGAATCCTTGATTGCTCTGGCTTGAGCCAGGATTTGTAGGGCTTCCAGGCTCTCTGCTATGGAGCTGGGAGCCAAGCCCTAGTTACATGCAGGGCATTCAGTCTCCTGGCTACATGACAGGGAGACTGGAAGCCCTGGAGTGGCAGGGCTGCCTGAGAGCCACAGATTCTGGAAGACAGAGTTTATGGCCCCAGAGTGGTCTGCATGGCTGGCTGAACTAGAATCACGGACCCTAGAAATGTTCCCCCTGGCCTGGGGGAAGTGTACATGGCAGGGCTTCCTGGAAGCATGCCAGCTCAGCTGGCAGGGAACCAGGCAGGTTTCCACCAGAATTCAGCAAAGGTTTTTCAAGCCCAACTCACTTTTGGAGAAATTTGGGGGTCGATGAACTGGCATTTTTTGACAAAACTGTTCATCGGACAATTTTTGAGCAGTTCTACTAATAATCTATATTATCCTGCATATACTCCATGAGATTCAGGGAGCTTTAACAAGCTCATTGATGATTCCCTGTCGCTGCTGCAAACAGCAACTTGGCACAGAGGAAAATCCGGACCTTGTTTCTCAAAATGTTGCATTTTCAAACCACCAAAAAGGGATCTATGGATCACAAATAATTTATGGTCCATACTTGGGGAATCAATTCATATTTGAAAATATACAGTCCTTGTGTCACATTCTGGGAAATCTGTCTATGTAAAATTTATTAATTCTGTGTGAGATTATGGACTCTCTTATCAAACTACAAATTTTGTTTGATTGTATGACTGGCTAGTCTACCTTCTCTGCTGTCTTTTTACACTTCAATTTTGGGATGAAGTTCTAAGAGGTGGTGGCAAAACGCTTATAATGGGTCGTTAAACCTGGATAGTTTTCTAGTCAAAATGAAGCACCTATGGACAAAGAAGGTGGCCAAATCAAGAAAACTGGTTCTGAAAGGTGGGTTAGTAACCAGGCAGGGGATCACTTGGTTGGGGACTTTGAACACCTGACAAGGCTGATCATGGGTCACGTGACGGAAAGGACTGTCACTTTATAAAAAGGAGGACACTCTCACCAGACATTTTAGAGAAAGGGAGAAGAGACCACAAGTGGATAGCAAGATTATGCAGGAGGAGGAGGAGGAGGATCCTGGATACCCTAGAGGACTCTGACAAAATCCCAAAGAACTCTCAAAAGTAGTGAGAAAACTGAGGGAGGGATAGCATATTGGTGTTTTACTGTTTTTAACCTAGATACAGCTCTCTCTTGAGCTTTCTAAAGTAAAGAGTAATTGTGTTGGAAACCTTTACAAACCTGTGTGTTATGTGCTTAAATTATCATATATCCCTAAAGAGGTAAACTGTAAACCAGAGTGCCCATAAGTCTGGAGCTCTGGGAGAGAGTGTGTTTAAGCTATTGGAGTTCCCAGGGAGGTCAGCACAGGCCTAGGGCAGTTAGATTGCAAGGTCCCAGTTCCGTGAAGAGGTAATAGATTCTGTGCCCAGGAAGTGTGTCAGAAAGGCCAAATGAAAAAGACAGTACTGGAGCTTAGCCAGACCAAAAGGTGTGTAAAAACACACCTTGCTAATATAAAATGGCTAATTTGTACTAGACGCCACAGCACAGGTGCACCTTCTTCAGGAGGGACTGTTCGTTTAGTGCATTCTCAGAGATGCAGAAGACCTAAAAAGGAGAGGAGAGAAGAAGGGGCTATGTCTTTCCCTTTCCTCTGCTGGGTTTACAGAATGGGCCAGCTATGCCATGTAAATAGGCTGCACCATTCTAAAGGATCTAGGTAGGATTACCATACATGCTGTTTTGGAGGGGACAGCCCCCTTTTTAAGCCTTGTCCAAAATTAGAGTTGCCAGCTGTCTGGTTTTGACTGGAA